TGTATTGCACAACATTTGTCTTTCTGGGCTTGGAGAGGTCCAGGTAGAAGACGATAACGTTGATGATTTTATTGGAGAAGGTTTTGTAATTATAAGGCAACAAGAACGAGAAAATAATGATGATAATGATAACGTAGGCTTTCAGGAGGGTGAAGCCAAAAGAGCCTACCTCGTAGCCTCTCTCATAAGAAATAATTAATAATAATAAAAATAGATTCAGGTTGTCATATCTATCAATCATTTCATGTTGTCATGATCTATCAATCATTTCTTATGAAAAGTTACCTCTGTTGTCATCTGTAATATATAAATCATATGTGATATTTTATTACAGGAATCAGTAAATTAATTTTAAGTTTGGTTCTTTTATTGCTAAAAAATTAGTTTTTTATTGCAAATGCCATTTGTGAAATAGCACTTATACAATATTACACATGATTTATACATTATACAACTTTCATTATGCCTAGTGTAAATATATAGGTATGTATTAATGTTTTCTATTTTTACCTGTAAATGTAATTGCAACAAGGATTATAATAAATGGTATACAAATAAATATAAACTTCTTTATTTTTAATATAGAACACCTTATATGAACCTCTATTATAAGATACTGCATTATACTGCATTAAAAAAATTAAAGAACAAAATTAACCAATACATTTTTTAAACGCTAAATAGAAAAACTGAATAGATTGTAGAAAATCTTCTAAATCACAGATATTGTTAGAATATATCTAAACAGGAAACAAAACATAATACTAATACTAATATATATTAAAATTTTCTTTGGTTAATGATACTTACATATATCAGGTACAAAATGTACATTGTCAAAAATAAATTGGCACTGGCAGCTAAGTACACTCACGATCATTGATGCCTTACCATAATGGAGGATAGATGCAGAGTTCGATATCCAATAAAGAATTTCTTTTAATAAAATAAATTTTTCTATTGAATGTCGGATTTTGTATCTGTCTTTCTTGTGGTAAGATATCAATGACTGCGAGTATACAAGGTACAAAGTTATAATTACACTACTTGTTTATAAGCAGTTTGCTAATATGTATTGGAAATGTGTCATATGTGCTCTCTCTTAATTATTAGGTAGGTACAGATTTTAATGTCACAATTTATTAAATTGTGCCTCTTTTGGAAAATGGTTCCTCATACTGTTTATGTGAAAACATAAGAGAGATCACATATCAATATATTTCCCAATATACTTCAACTAATTGCTCATAAAAAAGTGGTGTAACTGATTCATAGCTTTTCTAGTAACTTATTCATGATATCAGTAAACGCTGTAATTCCTTTATTCTGCGATCATTGCCTCATGTCGTTTTTCTCTTGCTAATTCCCTTTTCTCCGCATCTTCACGAAGAGTCTTAGACCAAGCTTCTAATTCTCTATTCAGTTTGCTCTTCTTTGCTTGTTTACTTATCTTCTCTGTTTTATCAGTCTCCATTTCTTCAGATATCTCATCATCACTATTATAAAGATTTTCTACAGATGTAGAAGATGCTCTTTTTGTTCTTGAAGAAGCAAGAGCAACAGGTACGACACTTGGTGATTTAGAAAATATTTCACCTAACTCATCATAGAATTTACATGTCTTTGGAGCATTTCCAGACCTAGAGTTATGGTCTTTAACACTCATGTACGCTTTCCTTATGTTTTTCCACTTGTTTTCAGTCTGAGTGGCAGTTACTTTAAATCCTGTTTCTTTGATGTCTTGGGCGATCATATCCCATACTACATCATTCCTTATAATAGTGCTTTGAAAGTTTGGCTGATTAGCCTTCCAAGATGTGATTAATGCTAGAACAGCATTCCTTGTCCACTTAACTGAAACATACATAAATCAAGAGTACACTATCATGTATACAGATTAACTGATTTACTATAAACAACACTATCATTTAGTATGCCTACCTTTCTCTTTATTGGTTACTGGCTTCGAATTTCCTGTTTCTGATGTCAAACATGCTACATCATCAGGGAGAGAACCTGAGGCCTCTGATGATGACATGCTCGTTTCAGGAACTGCAATATATAAGAAAAAAGTCAATCCTTTTAATTATTGGGGCAGTTATGAATCATCTGGCTGTATGAACCAAATTCAATACATACTCGTATCAAGCTGTAAAGTAGAAGGTATGAGACCAAAAAGCCGGAGATTTTTCTCATTTTCGAGAACGCAGCACATATTTATTATTATTTGTTAACAGATAAAGATCATTTCAATAAAAACAATAGGAGCTTTGGCTCCTGACAGGACCTAACCTCCCTCGCAACGATTCCTATTTGCTATAGCCTTGTACTTACCAATATTATCGAACACCATAATGTGCCCCTCAACACGGACGACTTCTCCATTCTTTTTTGTTACCAATTTGTGGCGAGTCAGGTCCGCTTCTACAACATGCATCTCCGTCATGTTTCAGCTTGAAACTCTCAATTTCAAGCTTGCCGCCAAAACATACCGAGTAACTTTTTAACCGACGAAAAATGGTAGGTTGAGAAGTCGACTCTAGAGTTAACTCGATTACTCTAACCCGGAAATCTGAACGCGGTCTGTCGAGTCAAAAAATATTTATTCGGATGCTATCTGAACGGTATAGGGTAAATTTTTCTACTCAGAGTAAGGAATCTGAACACACCCCAACAGGCTAATCTCCGAATTTCCGCGATCGCGGATCGATAGTTCGGGGCCCCCTCCCCGCAGCTGCTCACGCGAGGCGCGTGCCCCGCGGCCAATCGCGCGACGGCACGCGACAACGCCGGCAGCGATATTTTCAAGCCCGGGCGCAGGTGCCCGCGGTATCGCCAAATTTTCTCGCGGCGTTTCCTCGATAGGGCGGTCGCAGCGGCTCCCCCGCTGACGCCCCTCAGGTAGAGTGCCACGGGCCCTGGGCTCCTTCCTCCCGGCTCGCTGCTTCGCGTGCTCCGCTCTCAATCCGCAAGCTCTCCACCGTGCTCGCCGTGGAATTTGTCCGTTAGCCGGGCCTCTCATCTCTCCTCTGCCCTCGCGTCCATCCGTACTCACACGCTCGTATTCATAATAACAAAAAAAAACAAATAATCAGCAATAACGTCGGAACGACTAAGCTATAACGGTCGCCTCTCTGGAGACTGCGGCACGGTTTCCCCTAATCTCGGCCTGTTGCCTTGAGGGAGGAACCCGGTGGACGCGCACGCGGGACGGCAACGTCACAAACTCAAGAAATAATTAATGATATTTTGATGAATTATATATGAAATTTGGTTTGAAAGAAATTAAGAACAATATAATATAATTAGTAAAAAAGTAAAGTAAAGTAAAGTAAATTGTGCAAATTAGAAATTTGCACATGGCTTCCTCATAGAGGAAGGTTTAGGAGCGAAATCTAATTTTTTTCGATGTTTCTTGAAAGTGTGCAAATTAGAAATTTGCATAATGCTTCCTTATCATTGAAGCGTGCAAAATGGAAATTAGCACAATTTTTTGGATGTTTCTTGAAAGTGTGCAAATTAGAAATTTGCATATTGCTTTCTCATGATTCAAGCGTGCAAATTGGAAATTTGCACATTTCTTCCTCATCATTAAAGTGGGCAAATTAGAAATTTGCACATTGCGTCCATTGTTATGGCTTCCTCATAGAGGAAGCTTTAAGAGAGAAATTTAACTTTACTACGATGTTTCTTGAAAGTATTCAAATTATTCTTATTTCGCTCTTAAAGCTTCCTCTATAAGGAAGTCATAACAATGGAAGAAATGTGCAGATTACTAATTAGAAAAAAAGTAAAGTAAAGTAAAGTGTGCAAATTAGAAATTTGTACATGGTAGGCTAAATCCCTCGCCCAGACTCAAAAAGTTTAGTATTGAAACCGGAATTTGTTTATCGCTGACATTGATTATCCATTTAGTTCTGTCCACATTGAGGAAAGATTCCAAGTTATTATCATTTCTGTGGATGATTTCTCAAACTTTTTTATTAATTTAAGTTTTATGTCGTGTTCCGTGAGCCAGACTCACACATTAAAGACAGTTGGACGCTAGTTAATAATATTAAAGGCAAAAGAATAAATACCAATGACATCCTTATCTCTCTAGACGTCACTGCTCTCTTCACTAACATCCCGAGGGATCTTGTAATAGATGGTATAAAAAAGAGATGGTCTGACATAAAGAAAAAAACTAAACTTAACTGCGCTCAATTCTTACATGCTATTTCGTTTGTACTTGAATCAACAAGTTTTCAATTCAATGGACTATTCTATGAGCAGATTTTTGGCAGCCCAATGGGATCTCCGCTTTCTCCAATTTTAGCGGATATTGTCATGGAGGACCTCGAGACACATTGTTTGCGACAGCTGGACTTTAAAATTCCAATGTTTTACAGATATGTAGATGATATCCTTGCTGTTGTTCCAGAGAGTGAAATTGACCATATTTTAAATATTTTTAATAATTATCATACCAGACTGAAATTTACTTATGAAACAGAAACTAATGGATCAATTCCCTTTCTGGACACACAGATAATTAGGAATGGTGAAGAGTTGACAACAAACTGGTATCGGAAACCCACTTTTTCGGGAAAATATGTAAACTATTTATCCAACCACCCACAAAATTATGAATTAAACACAATAAAAAGCTTGGTGGACAGAGCAATTTTGTTATCGGATGGGCGGTTTCATGACAGCAACATGGATATCGTAAAGGACATACTACGAAATAATTGCTTTCCGAATAACATAATTGAGAAACACATTCACTTGAGATTAAAAGAACTTAAACATCGGAAATCTTCAGTGAATGAAACGGTCCAAACAACGAAACCACGGCTTGATATCCGGAATTGCATACCACTTCCTTATATAAAAAGTGCTCGCAGAGGGCGCAGAGGCATCTGTCGCATCCTAAAAAAGTGCGGTTTGGGGTCCTTCATACGATACCTAAAAAACTCAATCAAATCATAAAGAAGGAAAAAGACAGACTAGAGACTGACAGAAGGACGGAGGTTGTCTATAAGATTAGCTGCAATAATTGTGACGTGTCTTATATAGGGCAGACTATGAGACTCCTTCAAACACGTGTTAAGGAGCATTGCAACGACATAAAAAAGCACGAAAGTAACTTATCGGTCGTTAGCAAACATCGTCTAAATTACGAACATGACTTTAATTGGGCAGAACCTAAAATACTGCACAATGAAAAACACAAAATCAAACGCGAAGTTGCTGAAATGGTCTTCATTAAAAAACATAAAAATACCATTAACTTGAAACGAGACACTGAAAATTTAAATTCAGTTTACGATAAAGTCCTAGAAAAACTGTGACTTTCCTAGTGTCGATAGTTATTTATAATTCCTAGTTACATACGAATTCACACCTTATTTTTGTGTTAAGTTTACATGACCTCTCTTCAGTACAAGTCCGGCTCTGGACAGTGCGACATCAATTTTATTTAATCACTGACATGAGTTCACGGACAATAAGTGCTTCTAACCAACTTACTTTTCTTCTAACAAAGAATTGTACATTCATTTGACCATGTAAGTTTTTATTCACCCGTTGTTGATTTACTATGGAATTAAGATGTTCTCTGTCTGTATTCAGTTTGTCACGGTGCAATGGCATTGGCCAAAGGAATAACGAAGCAGTTAAAGACTTTAATAGAGGTACGAATTCCTGATGATATGGGATAGTTCTTGATATGTTCTGGCGTTAATACGTAATTCTGCGGTTTCAGATTACTTGAAAAGGGCCCAAACCCGGGGCCGAAACGTTGTAACGGTTTTTTAAATAAAGACGATTGGCCAGTGTAGGTTGTAAAAACTTATGAAATTTTGGTTTCGAGTTACTGGCGATATATAATTACCACTTTGTTAATCTCTATTAAAATGTACTGCAATTTGCACGTTTGCCTCTGTTTATGTCTATCGTCTCAATATCTATTTTTATATTTTATCTTGCGGACACACACACACACACACATGCACAATGTAATTTTATTTCTTGTTTTATTCACATACCGATTCTTATATTTTAATTTTATCTCATTTCACATACTGAAAATGGTCCAATGTACGTCCGAAACGTATACATTCTTAATTTAATGAAATTATCTGACACTATCATCTTGTCTTGGCTCTGAGCCTTCTTTTAGTGTTTTAATTTATATAATTTTACTTGATATTATTTTTTTCGTGTCATATCGTGTACATTTCACATTTACTATTGTATTTGTTACAAACATCAACATCAAATATTCTTCAGATACAACCTATGCAAATTGTGTGATCTATTAAAAGGGAAGATAATTATGGAATATTATACTGTACGATCGTACAAAGTATAGAGTTGCCGAGAGTTGAATATTAACTATGTTTAAGAGCTCTACATAGCGTGTTTTCCACGTATATCACTCCCTGTATATCCGTAAACCATTAATTACAGCTTCTTCTTAATCACTTCGCAAAGAATGAATAATGTGGCATCGATTTCTGTCTTCTAGTATTGCTCAGAGTCTTGCTTTTACTGCTTGCATATCCGTATGTGATTGTATTTTGCACAGGCAATAGAACGTATTGTTTGTAAATGCAAGAAATCGTTTTTCAAGATGGTATTAATACGTATAAAGATTCATCAAGTACTTTATATTCTTCAAATTTGTGGAATATTTACGAGCACATGGCCTCCAGAATTCAAGACTGGAAAACGAGAAATTTTTCTTCGAGATCTCGGTTGGATTCTGGCAATTTTGAATGTATTAGTATCAATGCCGCTGTTGATTTTGGGTGCTTACTATTCTGAAGATGTTATTCGAATGATGAAGGCACTGTCTGAATTGACGGCATTAATGGAAGTATTATTCAATTTAATCTTGTGTAGGATGGAAAGATCACGATTGCAGGTTTGATCTCGTCTTCTGAATATTAAGATTATAATAAAATTTACATATGTAAATAGAGATATTACCCGTCTCAAACGGGCGAAAAGACGAATGTTTTTGGCCATGCTCTTTAAAGTTTTGGTTAATTAACATTTCTAAAAATAACATATTTATAGTCCAATTAAATATAAATATAAAATTAGATATACATAAATGTAAAACAATTACGTTGACTAATCATTACAATTGAAGTCATTAATGAGTTTTAATATTTGTATATTCTTAATATTTGTACAGAATCTTTTAGCAAAGTTGAAAGACTTTCTTGACCATTCTGAAGTGCAAGAGAGGTATATTATACAAAAATATATAAATCGTTATACAAATTTCTCTATTTTTGTTGGAACATCCTATATCTTAGCAGCAGTAACTTTTTCCTGTGGTCCCTTGTTTTTGCCGATAAGCCTTCCAATGGAAGCATGGTATCCATTTTCTATTGAAAGTATCTATATTAAAATTATTCTTTATGTATTGCAAGTATTCGCTATCTTGCAAACGGGATTTTGTATTACGGTAGACTTCATGATTGCCATGTTTTTTTGGTATCCCGCTGCAAGACTAGAAATGCTAGGACAAGAATTACAACAGATAACGCACGAAAATCAAATAAAGAAGTATATTCAAAAACATCAAGAAATAATAAGGTATGCAACAGTTCTTGTTAGTTTGTTGTACTATTTCTTGATAGCATCGAATTAATGTTATATGTTGAACATTATATTTGTATAAAAAAGATATTTTCTTAATTATTCAACATTATTCAATATTCAATAATTATTTTACAATTAGATTTCATCATTTTTTATAAATATTAAATTCATACTGTATCACAGAGTAACTACATATTACGTTTATTATAGGTATAAGAAATAGTGTACTAATAATATTTAATTCTATAAATTACTCATTAAGATACTATACGTCAAATTATATTATATTTTAATGTTTTAAAAATATTATTTGCTTTTATATTTTCACAAAAGGAGGAGTAGCATTTGACTCTGGATTTTCAGATCAATTTTTTTATTGTTATTGTACATTTATCAAGTTAATACGAAGTATAGTAACTTGTGCCATTGCGCAATAGTTTATAAGATATAATTAATTATCGAAAGTAAAAAGCAATGAGAGTCAAGTACTAATGGTAATGTATGTACATACTCGTACATGTTTGCTTATAAAAATGACAACAATGTAAATAATAAAAAAATAAAAGGTAAATGTCCTTAAGCCATCAACACCGACTGTAATAAGTATTGTGGCGATCCTGGGAAGTTATCTGGGTGTTAACTAGAGCGTTGAATGTTCCTTAAGCTCTATATCCGCGCTGTCCTTTAACTAAGGGTGCGTTCCGAATTACGCATGAAGCGCGTAGACTGCAATACTGATGCGCAACGCTTCGAAATCGTTCCGTTTTTTTAATGCATGCATAAAA